GTAACCGACCCCCGAACCCAATTCTGGTTATCAAGGCCATTATTGGACTTTTAAAAACCTTTTCTTTTTCCAATGTTTTGAGTAAAATATTGGTGGCGACTCCATGAACCTATTTTCAAAACCATTAATTAAGGATTAGTCTGGTGTCCAGACATTCTTTAATTAATGAGACTTTTAAAGGGATGTCTAAACCATAGGTCGCGAGATCGGAAATTTTTGGGTTGCGACAGATGGCGACTCCACTGGGGACGTTTAAAGAGGGTCAGACCCATTTAATTGATGATGTTAATAAAATAAAAATAATAATTTAAATATTTTTCCCTTTACTTTATTTGTTTTATTTGTGTGGCTTTAATATCTATTTACCTGTTTAAATTATGCATTTGTTTTAATAAAAATTGTACACAAACCTTTGTACACAACAGTTCCTCCTACACCCGGGGGCATGAGGGTAATAAACATAGGGAGTGGTTGACGTACGACCGACCCAAGTTTGGCCTTGGAGTCTGCGAGCCTTGTCGGAAATCACACTCAAGGTGATAACCGGTTACTCTAGCCTGAAATACTGCGACAGACCTTAGAGTTTTCCAAGTGACGGCGATAGAGATACTGGGTCCCTATAATGGGGGCACCTTGGGGGCCTTAAGACCAGTGAGATTAGAACTTTCCTATACAATGCACTTTTCTTGCAGGGACCACAAACCAAGGATTTAAACGTGACTGTTCGCGGGTGTACATTTGTTTGAGCATATGTGTGTTGCATTTGTTTGTGTTTATTTATTTTAAATGGATAAGATTTACAAACAAATAGATATTAATAAAAAAAATATGATGAAAAATTAATTCCCTTCTGTATACCCTAATTCTAAAGCATCATACAGGGTAGTTTATTTCAAAAAAAAAAACAAAAAAAGATAAATATATAGCAAAAATCATGCATCATTTCCTTTAGCCAAAAACATGATAAAATTTAGGCAGAAAATAAATATCATGCATCTCCTAGGATAGTGCATTAGCATACATTCATTAGAAATGGAAGACACACATAATAGTATGTAAAGAATGTTCTCTAAACAAAAATCAATGAGAATGATATCCGTTGAATTTCTCATGTATCTTTGCATCCTACTTTACGTTTCATATAGATAACACGCCTTCCTTGTAAATAATAAATAAGAATAAAGGAAATCTAATTTGTGTGTGTTAGCCGGATAATGGAAATTACTGTAATCAAATGCGAACCTGACACATCAAATCGGGAAACACTTATCAGTAATTGGGGGCATCACACGCCCAAATTGACGATTCAAACATCGAGACTTTCCCATGCGGAAACAACAATTGCCGGGATAAGAGGAATGATCAAGAATGGACAAATCCTTGCTTTTTAGGGAATTACAAGACAAAATCCAATTGAAGAATAAAGGCATTGCATACAAGAACCCGTTAGGATGAAAACCCGTAAAGGGCGTCGTAAGCAAAAATTAGGGTGAAAAAAAAAAATAAACTCAAAATCTCGATAGGATACGTCCTATGCAAAAGTAGGGATATATAAAAATAAGAAATGTCTATCTAAGTTGGAATCGAAAGGTGGCTCGAGTATTCTCTTAGAAAGCAAGAATTCACAAAGGTTTCACTCCAAATGCAAAACACCGACGTTCAAGCAAGTGGAAAGGTTTTCTTTTGGAATTTATCAAATCATTCATGACTCTCTAGGGGGCAACCTCTGTCTATCTCTCTGTGTATGAATCACGAACTCGGGGCATGCTCGGGCCTTCGAGCTTTGTTAAAGGGGCACGTGTAAATTGAAAGTACTGTTTTAAATGCCATAGCACTCTTTCGTTTCTCTTCTCCCTTTAAATATTCACTCTAGGCCTCATCCATCAACCCTTAATAAACAAAATGTATTTGCGACAAATATGTTACTCGATAATAGCATGGAAAGGATAACAAAGGAACAATCAAGAATCCAAACATGACTAGGGGTCAATAAAAATAGGGCGTCCCACACAAATGCTGCAAAAATGAAGGCCCGACAGGAAACCCACTAAGGGGGCTGCGCAAAATTAGGGCAAGATCTGCTATGGGGCCCACAATCAAAAAGGGTCACCTAGGCAAAAGTAAGGATCAAAAGAAAAATGTCTGCTAGGAAACACATCCCGAGTGACCTAGGCAAAAGTTAGGACGTTAAAGCAGCAACTTAAGTTGAAAACCAAAAGGCAGCTCAGAGGAATCATTTAATCAGAGCGCGACCCCAAGTCATCACTCCACTTTCCAAAAAGGCTAAAACAAAATGATAGCTTCCTTGCAATAAATACGTTTTGTTTAATAACCCTAAACACCAAAGCCTACCTTGGCCAGCCCTTCTTCTAAAAGACCCTTTTTGAAAAATCCCTTCTAACAACCCTTTTGAAAAAAAAACAATAATAATAATAATAACATTCCTTCCTTCTTTTCTCTTGACCCTTATGGCATTAAAATGGTACTGAAAAGATACACGGAAAATGCACAGTGAACACTCACAAAGAGAAGACAGAGATGTCCCTGAACAGAGTTTGGAGACACTTGACTACACATCGACTAGATAATCAAAGAGCTACTTAAACCTTGGGTTTAAAGGAGTATATCCCGGCAATAATCACAAACGGCACGGATAAACAGGAATCGTCAACATTAACCTTAACGCGCACATGTTAATTTCCCAACAAAAAAAAATTGAATGACATGTTTAGGAACAAACACATGAGCATAAGCTGCATCGCATGCATATGAGGTAGGGGCATATGGAAGGGCGTTACACAAAAAAAAAAGAGAATAAATAAAATAATAATAATAATAAAATCACCCATGTCTTGCATTTTCATTGCATCCATGCATCCATGCATTCTGCTTGCTATGAGTCAGAAGGAGTCATCAGGATGAAGCACAAGCTAAATAGCCAACCATGAGCCAAGCAGTGGCAAACGGCAACCCCAAATGATTCTATGTGCCCACTAAGCAAAGACATATCAACAGTGGAATAGAATAGAATCGACCAAACAAGCAAATCTATAAGCATGAAGAGGCCATCGGGCCTTACTCCTCAACTAAATAAAGGATGATCCAAAAAATGCCAAGACCAGGAATGACTTCCTAACCAAAGCCAGGAGTGGCTTCCAAAATAATACTCCTCAATAAAGATCCAGCAAATAACATCATGGGAATAGATCCCTCCACCAATGATGACAATAAAAAAGCAAAAATAACATGAGAAAAAGGCAAGCTTCACAAACGTTGAAAAAGTCGAAGCATTTAGAAAAATAGCAAAAAAGGCAAGCTTCAAACATGAAAGAGCCGAAGCTAAACAAAAAATGAAATTCAGAAAAAAAAACCTACCACAAGCAGACGCTTGGAGAGGCATCACAATACTCACATGGTAGGGGCAACACCAGAATCCCTGTCAACCATCTACTCCTTTGCCCGC